ACAAGGTTTGTCTGGCAGGACCTGTTTTTGCGGAAGCCGTGTTGTGTGGCTGCCAGCCTCCCTTCCCTATCTAGCATCACTAGATCTCTCTCTATTATGAGCCTTTCCATTGTTTTTCCTACAATGGACATAAGGCTAACAGGTCTATAATTCCCCATGTCCCTTCTACTACCCTTTCTGAAAATTGGGACCACTGATGCCGCCCTCCAGTCTTCTGAAACTTCACCCGTTCTCCACGAGGCCTCAAAAATGGAGGCCAGTGGGCGTGAGAGAACCCCTGCCAACTGTCTAAGTACTCTCGGGTGTAACCCGTCAGGGCCTGACACCTTTGTAATGTCCAATGCCCTGAGGACTTCAAGGGGGGGGTGACTCTGATCTGTGCCCCTAACACTGACAGCTACCCATCATTTAAAAAAATGCCAACCCAGTATTTATCCATAGGCTTGAACAAAAAGTAGTAAATGAGGGAATTACACCACTGGATAAATATCCTGCCAGTGGCCCATGCATAAATATCCTGCAGTTCAGAATGATGGGAGCTGAGCTGCTAACACATCTACGTCTCAGCACATGCAGAAGCCTAATTCATATTTCCAGTTCATCCTTTGCTTCTTTTAAAATAGTACTTCAATCCAGGCTAAGGCTTCGTTCTAAGGAACACCACGGGGGTAGAAGATAAGCTTAGCAAACACCATCCAGGACTGATGTGTTAATTGTGGTCCAAAATATTAACTGTTTTTATGGTGTTGTTCTGGGACTGGCAACAGAAGTACAGCCAAAACCCCACACATTTCTCTGAGTGTCTGCTGAGGCTCCCTCCTGCATGATTAACTTTTCAGGGGATTGAAAATATACCCTGCACAGCTGGGAAGTATCAGAGCTCCTAGATTCTGGTGTCCTGTTCTCTTCCTTTCCCTTGCTCAGGACACCTATGGGCCTCACTTGGGCCCCACCATTCATTAGGGAAAAGTAAGAGGGCTGCCAGCTGGAGACTACAGCTTTGCTGCTTTCAAGCCAGCTAAACTGAAAGGAATATTGGTCCTACAAGAGTCCTAATGAAGCAAATGTTAGGGAAGTTCCTTCCAAAACCTTTCTGCTTCTTTTCAAAACCTTTCTCTAACAACCAGGTAAAGGAATCTGGAAATGCTTTCTCTTGTTCTGCCATTTCTATGTTCAAGCTAGGCAGTACCTGAATGCTCCTTACTGGCCAAATTATCAGATGGACCATCTGCCCTGAGTGTCATTATTTGATAAAAAGATGGAATATTAAACAAACATATTTAATTTTATGAGAAATATGAGAAAAGGTAGAGGTGCTCAATTCCTACTTTGCCTCAGTCTTCTCCCGCAGGAAAAACTACAAAAAAGAGGAAGTACAAGCTGAAAGTGAGAGATGGCAACCCAAGATTGACAGACAAATGGTCAAGTAATGTCTAGAAGAAATAAACACATTCTAATTGTCAGGGCCTCATGGACTCCATTCTAGAGTCAGGAAAGAACTAGCAGAAGAACTCTCAGAACCACTGGCTATTATTTTTTATAAATTCTGGAAAACAGGAGGAAATGCCAGATGACAGGAGAGGGGCTAATGTTGTTCCCATCTCCAAAAAAGGGAAAACAGACGAACCTGGGAACTACAGACCAGTTAGTCTAACATCAATCTCTGGAAAAAATCTGGAGCAAATTATTAAAAAATCATTTTGCAAGCAACTTGAAGAAAATGCAGTGATTAATAAAAACTAACATGGATTTATCAAAAACAAATCCTGTTGGATTAATTTAATCTCACTTTTTTGACTTGGTAACATCCCAAATGGACAGAGGAATCACTGTGGACAGTATCCACCTTAACTTTAGCATAGTGCTCCATAACAACCTGGTAAGTAAATTAGCAAAAAGTGGACTAGGTAGAAAAACTATTAGGCAGATGCAAAATTGGCTGCTAAATCAGACACAAAGAGTGGTCATCAATGGCACCTTCTCAAACTGGAGTAAAGTAACTAGTTTGGGTTCTGCAAAGTTCAGTCATAGGCCCAGTGCTCTTCAACATCTTTATTATTGATTTAGATGAGGAAGTACAAGGAACGATAATCAAATTTGTAGATGATTCAAAAGTGGGTGGAATAGAAAACACCCTAGAAGACAGAATGAAGATCCAGGGCAATCTTGAACACTGGGCTGAAAGCAACAGAATGAGATTCAATAGGGACAAATGCCAAGTCCTCCACCTAGGAAAAAGAAACCAAATGCATCAATACAAGGTGTGGAATATGTGACTCAACAGAACAGAAAAGGAAAAAGGCCTTGGAGTTACTATGGACAACAGGCTAAATATGAGCCAACAGTATGATGCAGCTACAAAAGGGGCAAATGTTCTTTTGGGATGCATTAATAGAAGTATTACTTTGAAATCACAAGTAGTAGTAATTCACCTATAGTCTTCACTAGCCAAACCTTATCTAGAATACTGTGACCAGTTCTGGACACCAAGATTTAAGAAAGATGCAGAAAAATTAGAAAGGGTCCAGAGGAAGGCAACAAAAATAATGCAGGGTTTGGAAACACTGCCCTAGAGACTGAGAGAACTGGGCATGTACAGCCTTGAAAAGTTAAGACTGCGGGGGGAGATGATATCCCTCTATAAGTACCTCAAAAGCTGTCACAGAGAGGAAGGTCAAGATCTCTTCTCACTGATATCAGAGTGTAGGACATGGAATAATCAACTCAAGTTGTAACAATCCAGGTTCAGGCTAGATAGCAGGGAAAGGTTCCTCACTGTCAGAGCAATATGACAGGGGAACCAGTTGTCCAGAGAAGTTGTGGCCTCTCCCACACTAGAGACATTCAGAAAGAAACTGGACAGTCATGAAACTGAATGGGATAGTGTAAAACTGGTGTCCCACAACAGCAGGGTATTGGAGCTAATGGCCTTCTGGCCTCTCCAACTCTACTATTCTATGATTCTATGAAATACCTTCTGTCAGACAGAATTCCATCAGTAATATTAGCTGTCACAAAATCATCTCAGCAGGCATAAGACCAAGGAAGCAATTATCTGATCTTAGAAGGCTGTTCCAGGAATCTGTTTATGTAAACTTGTACATTTGAGTTGGTATTATTTATGCCTTTAGATTTTTGTTTTGTAAATCTATTTTGAAATGTTTTAACTGTGCTCTGTTTACTACAATAAAAAGTTGTAAGAGGTTCCAATTAAAAATTGTTTTTCACACAAGTTTAAAATACAGCCACAACATATGTTTAAGATCTACCTTTTTTTAAACTTATTGTTGCAAAGCATTTTTCAACTGTGCACCATTAACCAATGTCACATAAATGCTGTTACTGCATTATTAGGATTCTGTGTCACATGCACAGCTGTATCAGGGGTGATTGATTAAGCGGAACACATTTTGTAAAGGGCATCTGAAGGCAAAAGCTTATTCAGGAAAGGCAGGGACATTTAATTAACTTATTATGGCACAGATGCACAGATGTAAAATAAACCCGTCCTGTCATTCTGCATATATCACCTTTTGATGTTCTTTACTAAATTTAGTCAAATGAAAGGGATATGCAGTATACTGCACAAGAGATCCATATTTTAAAAGACATTTAAAAAATGTACAGGGTTAGATACTTGTCATTAATCAGCAATGTCAGAATTATGTTACTGTTTTTATGTTACAAATGCATTTAAATTGTTAATATGAAGTTCTTTAATTTATTTCACATTTTTTCTTACTTTCAAGGAATTCAAGGTGGCATAGTTTTGCCCCTAATTTTCCTCACAAATATCACATGAGGTAGGTTAGGCTTTGTGATAGAGTGGAGATATGAACTCCCCAGTCTTAGTCTGATGTTTCATTTATATGTAAGTGGAAAACTGTGAAGACATTTTCTCACTGTCTTATTAGAATCTGGGGCCACCCAACAAAATGGTAGAAGATTTGGGATAAGGAAGCAACACTTCACATAGCACATAGTTAAAACTACGAAATCTGGTACCACAAGATGCAAGTGTCCAAACTGGACACTTTAAAAAGTGAACTATATAAAAATAAGGAGCTTAAGCTCTGCCCATGATGGCTGCATATCATCCCCAGTGTCAGAAGCATTATGTCTTTCAATAAAAGTTGCTAAAGGACATGTGTGGGAGGTTGCTATTGCGCATATTGGCCATTGTGGGAGCACTATTCTGGACCCTTTGGTCTATTCAAGCAGGTCTGTTCTCATGAACTCTACAACAAGTGCTTCTCATAGTGTACTACAGTTTAACAGGAAGAACTTTTTAGAGGAAAATCATCACTGTAAAAATATCACTTCTGCCAAGCTCCACAGACTTATAGTCATCCATAACTCAAGGTGCTGCCATTTTAAAAAATCCTCAAAGAAACAAAAGGATAAATATTCTTCTTGTTCCATGAAGTTCAAAACAGCTTAATGATTGTTTTTACAAGCTAACTGTTAGCATTATAATCATGCACCTAATTATAAGAGCACAAAATATTTCTAGATGTTTAATGAAGTTTTAAAAATACTGTGGAAAATTATCCAATACTACTTACTCATTAATGATCAAATCTGGTGCAAAACAAAGCAGGCTCCCATTAGATTGTTTATATGATCTCCATCCTAAAGCAAAAGACATCAGAAACATCCACGAATACTGCAGGAGGGTCATTTGGTCATCCAGATGCAAGTTTCTGAAACCTGATTGGAATAAAAATGCATAGTCTAACATATATCCTGTCATAATGAAAATAATGCTGGTCCAAGGTATTGCTTTGAATTTATGGTTCAGACAGCATCCTTAAGTCAGACTCCTACAAGGATTTGATCAAGCAATATTAAATCTAAGTAATTCTAATCATTTTAATCAGTATCTGTCAATATATCTATATCTATTTATATATCCAGCCAAGCATTTGACATCACATATTTTGCCACCAAATAATTCCAGGCAGCTCATTATATGTATTATAAAACCAGTAAACATATACAGTAATTGATCAGTATAACAAAATTCATATATACTACTAGTCAAGTTTAATACATAGATCCAAAATCTAATGAAAAGTTCTGTTGAAAAAGGATTGTTTTCACCTGGTGCTGTTATCTGATCAATACTAGTACCAGTGTAATCTCTAGGAAGAGCTGCAGCTAGGGTGCCATCACTGTGAAGGCTGGGCTTTGTTAGGTGCTGGTATAAACAAAGGGCTGGTAGATCTGATTTCATGGACAGGACGATTCAAGGAGATGCACTCTTTTAGGTAGGCAGTTCCTACGAGTAAGACACACAGGTCTTTCTATGTCAAAAGTAGCAACTTCAATTACTTTTTGACAAACAAGCAACCATCCTCTTTAAAGACCTGGAAGGTCTTAGATTGTCTTGCACTGAAGAACCTGCTGCCAGTGCAACTGCATTTTGCATAACCTGCAATAGCCTAATTGTTCCTGAGGGCATCCCCCATGTAATACTTTGTATTAGCCTAACAAGGAATTTACCAGGGCATGAAAGGCTGTTGACAGGGCATTCTGCCAAAGAATACTTCCCAAACAGATGCAGTTGAAGAGAGACATGCATGCTCCTACAGCCACCTGGGCTTCTAATGGCAAGGCAGAATAAAAACTATCCTCAGACTATGCACCTGCTCATTCAGCAAGAATTCAGCTCCATTCAGAGCAGACTACTCCCTTAATATGCAGACCAGAGAACCACCAACCCACAGTAACTCCATCTTGCTCAAATACAGTTTCAGTTTATTGGTCCTCAACCAAACCATCACTGTCACTAAGCCCATGACAGCACCTTGCCCAAATCCCAATGCCTGCTGCCAGTGGTTCCTACAGATGTTAAATGTCATGGACGTCAAGATGGAACTTTGTGTTCCACAACTGCCAGAGAGGGCTGAGCAGAAACCTCCCTTCCCTACTTTTTGAGAGAAGCTCCAGAGGTAGGAGTTTAACTATGCTACTGCTGTGACCCCAGCAACAAGGCAAATTATAAATGACACTGCAGCTAGATGGAACAATCCAAAAGCCTTCTTGGGAAGAGGGGATTTGCATGGGTGATCAGCCTGATTAAAAGGTTTCTTTAAAAAAAATCCCCTCCATACTGTTCTCCTACTTCACTCTTCCAGATCCAATTTTTTCTTAGAAAGACAAGCTTGAAACACTAGAAAAAATAAAAGTATCTTGTGCAGAATTTCTAGAGTTTTCAAGGAAAAGAGGCTGGCAAATGAAGGATTAAATACTTCCTTCTCTGCTGCAAATCATTTCCTCCAAAAGTACCTGAAAGAGAGAAGAAATCGTGGGTGCTTCATTATAAATAGCTGTGGTGGGATGTGTTGTTTGCCTCCAAGTTTCAAATTTGTCTCCTATTATAGAAATTGTTATTAACTGATAAGAACAATGCAGAAGTGCAATACTAGAAAACCCAAACTATATTCAATGAAACTGTAAAGCGTCATTGTGAGACTCAATGATTACCTGAATGGCAACATGTTAGCCATCCTTGGCTAAACCAAAGCTGAGGAAAAAAGGGAGACTTTGGTCTTGCCCACCTCTAGCATGCAGCCCCCAGCAGATTATCCCCAAGGGAATATAGTCATAACAGGAAAACAGCTCTAATCTATATTCACAAACACATTACACTCATAAACACATGCTTACCTGGAATTGCCTTTGCCCATTTCACTGCAGCTACCACTTGTCTTCCTCCTAGCATATTGAGAGTTGACATTATACGCCAAGTTGTGTCTGGTATTGTACTGTCATAGCCTGAAAACATCACTTCTGGCTCAATAACTTCCAGTAGGGAAACCAGGGTGGGTGTCAGCTGTGGCAGGGAGGCAGGAACTATTGCCTTGTTTACAGGACTTTCAGCACTGTCCCTTCCTGCAGTCATGTTGGATTGCTGAATTCCTTTTATTTTCTTCTTTGTCTTTCGTGCTGGAAATTTTTGGAAAATGAAAATGAAATAACACAGAATAGAAAATGCTGTTGACATAATGACCTGCTATTCTGCACATCATTCTAAGTCATGGTGGACAAAACCTGGATATGCAGAAACCTGAGGAAAAAATAACAATATATCTGCATGATTTGGATGGAAAAACTATTCCTTTTTCTGCAGATCTGAAGGCTCAGAAACAAGTGTTATAAATGCTAAAATGGCTTGATTGGAGCAAGAGGGGTTTCTTCCCTGATTTCTGTTTTGCAATTTGTAAATTTGACAGCTGTGTAGTAACTGGGGAAGTAGAGATATTAGCAGACAGGAATATGAGGATCTAATAGGGGTTGTGTCATGTGAATGCAGGCCAGAAGTGGGCAGGAGTATTGGGGGGGGGGGGAGAGTGTGCCTTATTGTCTCTTGGGTGTAACATGATTGATCAGCAAGCAAGCAATTCACAGCGGCTTATTTTCAGGGTGCCTTTGTGTGACATACAAACTTGAACAATGAACAGCATATTTATCTTTTTAAGCAACTGGCATCTAACTGACTCCTTAAGTTCATATTTATATGAGCAAAAGATGAAACCCTATAAGATTAAATGTGTGAAAGAAGAAACAATAGCAATGCATATGGGGAGATTAAAAATGAATCTAATTGAGCCAACATTTTGGAATTTGGTGCTTTGAATGTGGCTTCTCCTATGGTACTTAATCCCAACAAGAGAAATAACAGGCAGCTCACTTGGCAATCGTTCAGCAGAACAGCATATATATTATGGAGTTGTGCATATGTGCACATGCATTTCTAGACATGAATCCCCAAAGCCAGGAAGATGTTGTTTCTGGTACAGCTGGACCAAAGCTGAAAATGTTTCTTGACAACTGTTTACCACTGTAATCAAACTGTGGAATACACATGCCAGATAAACTGCTTAAAATATCACTTCTCCAAAGCTGGTTTTTATTTCTATTTCTACAAGTAATCAAGCCACCTGCATGTCTTTTCACTTTTGTGAACTGCGTCCTAGAATATTCTTTCAGTATTTAAAAACTAACTGAAATCCATCTTTCACTAGAGAAACAGATGGGGACCCAGATGAGGTGGTGTGGCATACTGTACTGTAGGAGTTGCATTAGTATGTACATACATTTCTCTGGACTGTGTATTCCACCTTACCAAGTACTCCATTTGCACCAAATCTAGAATGTACACATGCAAAGCATGATCTCCATTTTTTTGGTTCATGTTTTGGTTGCATGATCCCCTGTTCTGGTTAATGTAAGAGGACCTAATGCCCTTTTTTCAAAGGTCCATTCCAAGCACACAAGGTCCAAATAACAAGCAGCAACCAGTAGATCAAAGCAAATAGCCTACTGATGAACCATCTCTTCAGAGATATTTTAATATCCCTATGCACTTGAAAAATGTTAAGAATAAAAAACTTACTAATCATAAATTTAAATAAATTTTAAAATTAAAAATTCGTAAGTGACTTTTACAGTTTCCCATAAATGAATTTTTCTGAGCAATGGATCCTATCTGGGGCTATTTTAGGCATTGTTTTAACACAAATTCCAAATTGTATTAGTCTCAGTTCTCAGCCTCTCCTCAGGCAGTATATCTGAAAGAACCTGTCAGTCAATTTCAGCACACTGTTTATAGAAAGCACATTTATCAAGTTAAAAACTGGGCTAAAATCCCCTGTAGAAGAATTGCTGTACTGTGATTCTAAAGTAGCAGCGCATGTCAGACCATAATAAACCTTCAATGATTTTTAAGAGAACTGGAGATCTTTACTACATTATATTTGCTAAGTATTCTAGGTCTGTCACTTCTATTATACAGTTTTTGGCTCCAGGGGAAAAATATGATGGTTTTGAGAAAATTCCTTAGTGTTGGAATAATAGTAAATTCAAAACACATGGCTCATTGATTGAAAAAGCATAAGCAGCCAAGCATTTTAGTTGTTTACCCAATCAGTCTTATATGACTAAAACCATCCCACAATGCCACCAAATAAGAGGTTTAAATTCAACACATTCTAGTTTTAGACACAAAAGCTTAAATGACCAAAGCACTATTCATACTTAAGGGGCACTCCAGATATTTAATATTTCTGGACGGATTTATATTGTAATTAGTGCTGCTCATGAAATTTGGCTAGGGAGGGGCCTCACTCGGAAAGGATCAACACATTCTGAGTCAAGTCCAGATAACATCCCTTTCCTTTGGAAATGAAATCCCTTTTCCTTTGCAAATGTGAAACAATCAAATTGCTTCAGGTGCACCCACCCACAATATTGGAATTCACTTGCCAGTAACCGTAAGCTCAAATTCATTAGATCATATTTTGGCAATATACAAAATAACAATTATTTTTTTTCAACTGAGGAAGCAATCCTATGTATTGCACCCTTGATCCTTGTCCCTGAACTTGGAAGCTCATGAGCATTCAATTCAGAGTGAAAGGCATGGTGGTGGTGATCTCCATCTCACCTCTGCATGATAGTTACATGCCTATTTTCAGTTGTCTAGCTCAGGTGCTCTGGAGGGAAGCTTATTCAAATACTGTCAGGTCACCCCATAGCCTGGTGGCTCCAGTCTCCTCCCCCTCCCCTTCTTTGGAAACACTCCCTTTACCACCTCTCTGAGATCAATTTCCCAGGTATTGCAAGCAGCTACTGCAGTTCTTTTTGCAACTGGCTGCAAAGGGAGGGTGGGGTATATCAAAATACAGATTCTCAGCACTTACACTAGAGCTCCATTTCCAAACTCATATGCAGTAATCTGAATTATTTTATACCTTCCCCCTAAAAGTAATGCCTGGGGCCACAAAAATGCTCTCTCTGTAATATTCAACTTAGTACTAATAGTGAGCTAAGTGAGTGATCTAAAAATCCCACCTTCCTTATTTTTGAATGGGACAGTAGGTGGTAGCTACAAGAATTTTAAAAACAGAATTATGGCTGACCCTCCACATCTGTAGGGTTATGAATACAGGACCCCTATAAAAGAGGGATAAAACACAAATATCTCTACCCCCTCCCCCCCCCACACACACCTTAAGTCTGAATACTGTTGAACATGAGTGTGGTGGATTGCTTCTCCACTGCCCTCCCCCCCATATTTGCATGTCTCCACTGCTGTAGCTGTAGCAACATTTTCCTTCCTTCCTTCCTTCCTTCCTTCCTTCCTTCCTTCCTTCCTTCCTTCTTTCTCTCCCTTCCTCTTCCTCTCTCTCTCTCTCTCTCTCTCTCTCTCTCTCTCTCTCTCTCTTTCTTTCTTTTGATACTCCAGCATAAGGCAACCCCCAATTTTTGCTTTGCTAAATTTGGTTTCAAGGGTTATATTATATGCCAATATATATGCTAATAACATGTGAAAAAGTGACCAGGAGGTATAAGTAAGAAAAATACCCACATATCTAGTTTGTGTGTGCTCTCTGAATTTTCTGCATTAGGCCACAAAACTCCATTAAAGTAGAGTTTCAACTGTACTCTATAGCAAAGATGAGGCACCTTAAATTATGCCTGCAATCCTATACACAGTCTCTTTGGCAGCTTGAAAGCAGAAGAGGGTTCTCCTGTGCCCTACTTTGCTGACTTTCTGAGGGCAGGTAAAGGTAAGTTTTCATAATCTTGGATCATTGAATATTTAGCAGCTGCTTGGTTTATTTTAAATTATAAGTTCAAAGCTATGATTTTAAATCATCAGCTGCTATGTTACTTACTTCTTCTCAAAATTACTGTTGTCGCTGCTCTTATTTTTGTTTGGCTTTATGTTATTGGCTTTGTTTTTATTACATATATTGCCCTTAGAGCTTCGGTTATAACGAGAATTAGAGATTGACTGACTGACAGATTAAATAAAGTTTCCTAAATAAATGTGGAGATAATTTTAGACAGACCCAAGCTGTGCCAGGCTTTATACCCAAAAACGGCATGGGTCTTAATGGGGTTGGAAATGTATAGGCAGCCGATGCAAACGGGCCAAAATACTTTCTGGTCCCTATTATCAGTGCAGCTTCATTTTGTACATGCTGAAACTTCTGAGCCATCCTCAAATGCAATTCCATGTAGAATATATTGCAGTTACCTAATTTGAACCACCAGAGCCTTATTGCTCTTCCAAATCATATTCCAGTCCTTTTCTGAATTTGCCCCCATCTCCAAGAGATTTCTTTTTTTTTTAACCAAGATTCACAGGGTTGTGAAAGGGGTGGGAAAGCTCCACTGTACAAGACTTTGACTTGTACAAATGGACATAGCCAGTACTATTACAATGTGCAGGATTTTTGCCAGAATGGCTTCCTTTTTCATAAAATTCAACACAATCCTTATTCATTTCCTCTAGTTCACTTTTATTTTAAAAATGTTAAAAATATTGTTGAAAGTTAGGTTTCCACTTTCTCTCTTACAAACAACAAAAAGTAGCTGGCAAAGAGAGTCTCTAAGCATGCACAGGGCAGTTCACCAAACCTAAATTAGAGGCTATTCTGAGAACCCACCATTTGAATAAGCCTGGACCCAGACTGCTCTGGGAGCACCCCTCTGGAGGTGTATGCAGGCACTCTATTTGGATAGCCCTTCTCTCCCAACACTGTGTCATGGGATCAAGGATCAGACCAGGGTCTTCTGGAGTCTGTTTGAACACCTGAAAATGGCAGCTCTGAGATAAATCCTTCTTTCACCACCATCTCTATCAGCAGACTTCATTTCCTAGGCATTGCCATCCTCACTGGAAGAATCGGTACCACCCTGTCCCTGAAATATATGCCGAGAACAACTGCCTTTCCCACCAAGTACGATGTAATTAATCTTCACTGGGAATAAAATATTTCAATTTAAAGTGTATTACTTTTCAAAAAGATTACTTGTATTGAGATTGTTTGTAAACCACGACTTAAAGATCTCTACAATGACAACCTGTGCTAAAACCCTAACTTTAAAGTAAAGTTAAAGTTAGGGTTTATGAAGAAACATAATACAAAAAGGCAAAACTTTAATCATAATAATCACTTAATGAAAATTCCCATAGTAATCATGCTTGGTATATAGTATTAGATTTTTTAAAAGGTGGATTATCAGAAAGGAAATCAGCCCTGAACCTTACACATTACAATATAGGGTTCAACACACGGGGATTCTCCATGTTTGAGAGTCTGCCTATTTCACACGAATAAATCTTCATTCTGCCAAATGCTATTGATATTAATGCTGCTACCAGCTTCCAGTAACAAGTCATCTCCACTTGACAAGGATCAAACTTGTGTGCTTGTTCATTAAGAATTTAAAGCAACATTCACTGATTGTGGTTTCCCTTTCCATGTCCTTAATGTTTCTTATAGATGACAATGAGTCAACATTTAAGTTTCTTCATCATTTGCATTCAAACTGTTGCACCACTAAGCTAGACATTTCCCAACACCATTGATGGTGAAATAGCATGTAGGTGATAATGGGAAAAAAGACACAACAAAGAGAGACAGAAAAACAGCAATCTGCATGTATACCATATCAAGCTACAATAAACAACAGTAGGAATGCAATTAAAAATGCAGTTCTTATGCAAGAGCAGGAAAATTTGGAAAGACATAAAGAACTGTCCATGTTTTGCTAAGAAAAATGTATACAATATTATACAGTATGCAGTACTCATAATATAAAACACTGTCCTCAATGCCACCTGGCCCCTTCATGTATTACTCCAATAAAAAAAGGCCCATGCATAAAAAGAAGCAGTGGGTGATTCATAGTGCTTCTCCTGTCCCTAAGTCTGTGAAACTTTTCCCTGCCTCCTTATTGTGTACAGGCTCCATTCAAAAGACTAACACATTCTGCAAACAAAATGAAGTTTCTCTGGTTCTCAGAAACAGAGCAATTCATTAAAGCACTGCAAATTACCTTCTAGGTTCATGCCTGCTTGAAGACATTTCCGATAACGGCAAGCTGGGCAGTTTTTTCTCCGAATTTTGTCAATAATACAATCATTTCTTCCAGCACAGAGATAATTGTGTTGCCCTGTATTTGCAAAGAACAAACAAAAGATTCTGGAATTATAAATATTTACATTTTTAATATTCATTCAACAGAATAGGGGAGCGAAGAAATTCATTTAGAGCAGAGGGTGGTCACCTGTGTGAGGGTCAGGGATCATTTTCATCTTCACCTCCTTGCAGTCTATGAGACCACCAAAACAAACAGGGCTCCACATCAGTAATACTTGTTGTTAAGGTAAATTGTTAACTTGTTCTTAAGGTAAATCTGACAACTGTAGTGCTCTACAGAACTAAACAGTCCAATTTTTAATTTAAAATTACTTTTTCCTTATGCTGTTGCATTCTAAGCACTACACATGGCCGGTGAGCTGTCTACTCCTCACCAAATGTAAGTAGAAGTACGCAAGTTCCTAATAAGGCAAAAAAATATTGGGTTAAAATACATAAATGGCTTGAGGAAATGTTACAAAAACCTTTAATATTTGAACCTGAAGTTTTTCTATTAGGCATTATTTCTGATGGCTTTGATAATCAAGCAACATATCTGATTCTACATGTAATTGCTGCAGCAAGGGTTGTATTTGCCCAACATTGGAGGAGTGAAGAGCCACCTACTGATGAACTGATCTTAAAAAAGATCTTGGACTGCGCAGAAATGGACAGATTGACCTTGTCTCTGAAGGAGAAAGAGGATACATATTTCTATCAAACTTGGAACTCTTTTTATTATTGCCTAGAGAAACGGGATTATGCGTAGATTTGAATATGGTTATGCACTGTTAAAAAATTAAGAGTAGGGGGTTGACCCAGTACGTCCGATGTCTTTGATGATTGATGTTTTAGTGTTAGTTTGTAGAAAAATAATAATAAAATTTATTTTTAAAAAAAGAAGTACACAAGTTCCTCATACCAAGAGCTGAGGAGTTAGACACTGTAATGCTTGCTGAATGAGATTCAAAATGACTATAAAAAGCACTCAAAAATTAGTATTCTTATAAAACTGATGTATAAAAAGGAGGAAAGTCAAACTAGAACAAAAGCACTAGGATTATTACAGAAACTGGAAATTTAATGATTTAACATAGTTTAATGGTGATACAATCAAGGGCCAAAAATTATGCACTGCCTAAACAATGTAGTCCACTGCACAAAAAACCTGAAAGTCTGCCCTGTTCCCAAACCTTTGCACTGTATGCAAGCAAGTGAGCGGGGCAGGAAAACAGAACAGAGTTGATATTTCTTTTTTTTTTCTTGCACCCACCCCACCAATGGCTGCTTTACTAGTCACAGAGGAAGAGCTGAGAGACAGCCTGCTATCCAAATAACTGAAAAACAATTTATTTTTATAGCATTTATATAAAATGTCCAACACTATTGTTTTCTGGGCCTCATGTTTAATTCCACATTATAATATATTACTGTTTATTTGGAACATTTTTGTGGTCACTTCAATATTATGCATGATCCAGGGGTTTATTTCACTTAATGTTATATATACAGTAGTCCCCTGAAATTCATGGGGGTTACGTTCCTAAAGCACCCGCGAATTAGGAAAAACTGCAAATTGCTGCTGGTGATGGACGCCGGCCGCCAAGGCGGTGCGGGTGGGAGGGATGGGGTGGGCCAGGCTGGGGGGCGGGCATGCGCACATAGCAAGGCAGGGGCACGGGCGAGCGTGCACAGAGATTGGTTTCTCTGAGCGAGTCCAAACTCAGAGGAAATGATCTCCTTGCGAATAAGCCACTGCACCACGAGGGGCCAGCTTACTTGCAAGGAGAATGGCTTGGATTCGCTTGGAGAAAAATCCTCCGAAAGACTGAAGCTGCAAATGCTGAACCGCTACTTCACGGGGGTATACCGTATATCATTTGCAAATATTTTATAAAGAAACTTCTAACTGCTGAAGGTGTAGATCTTTTGCCATATCCATGAGTTTACAAATCATGACCAGACATGGTAGCCAAGAATTATTTTTACCAGCCAGCCACCATACAGTAAAAATGCCCTGGCGCAAACACTTTTCTTTCCACAGAGCAAAAACAACTTCCCCTTCTAAGATCATCAGAAAAGCCATGCTAGATCAAGCCAATGTTCTATCTACTCCTGCACTCTATTCATAGAGTGGCAATCTGTCAGATTCCTTGGCTCCCCAGACTCTGGGTCACTGCTAAGAATGACTTTGGGGCAAGTGCACCCAACATTTGGAGTGCTTGCCAGGAGAGAGATCACACATGCTGCACAAGCTGTGCCCCTTTCCCCTGTGTGCCAATGCTGCCAGTATCAGGGGAAGATACTGGGAATGGTGCCTGTGAGCTCAGAGAGCCTCTTTCCCACACTGGTGGCTGGAGTGCCTGATCACAGCACCCCCTTACCTGCACATGTACCACAGCCACCACCACCATCAAGTGAGGAAGAATGTTAATTGCTGGGAAGGATGTCTGGCATGCCCACTCACAATGCCTTTCCTACATGCACTGCTATTTATTTGCTGGAAGCCGTCCCAAGGCTTATGCGAATGGGGCGGCATACAAGTATCCCAAACAAACAAACAAACAAACCAACAGTGAGCAGGGAAGAATGTTGATCACTGGGAATGGGGGCCAGTAAGTCTGTTTATAGCTTTCCTTTTCCACACCCTGCAGCTGTTCCTGAGGGGGAAGGCTGCCATTTGTGCAACTAGGGGTCTGTGAATGTTTGCATACTTCCTCTTGGCTTGGTTTGCTTTGCCAGATGGGACCGAACATGAGAAGAAGTCTATGGATGCCAGAGGGACAGATTCTGAAAGGGTTTGTCCCAACCCTAGCCACAGACAGCTTTCTCCTCTTCCATGAATCCATCCAATCCCCATTTAAAACATCCAAATTGGTGCCATCATCACTTCCTGTTGCAGTGAATTCCAACTACTTTGTATGGAAGAAATTGTGTGAAGAAGTACTTGCATTTATCTGTCTTAAACCTCTCACTGATCAGCTTCATCGGATGATTATATGTTTTAATATTATGGGAAAGAAAGAACAGTGCTTCCTTCTCTGCACCATGCATCATTTTAAATGCTTCTATCATGTCTTCCCTTACACATCTTTCTTTTCTAAGCTAAACAGTCTCAGTTGTTGCAGCTGTTCCTCACAGGGGACTTGCTCCAACACCTCAATTATTTTAGTTGCCCCTTTCTGTATTCATGCAGGCTAAGGAAATGGGCTTAGAGCAAACTACTTGGTATAAGTTAGACCAAATTGTACTTCTATCTCTAGCCATACTGCTTTATGCATAAGGGATGGACAGATTTCAGGCTTGCATGATCAATTTACTAGAACCCATATATTTACAAATCACTGCAAGACCTAAAATAATGGCACATGACCTATTGCATCATAAAAGCCACACACTGGGATGAGCTGTATAAACAAGTACAATTCCAAGTCACTAGACAAAAAGGAATTTCAGCATCAGACCTATTCCTGTCACACTCACCAGATACTACTGTACCTTCAGTTTACTTCCCAGACATTACATTTGTGCAAGCTTCTCCTCTGTTTACTTCTCAGTCACTATATCCAGCCCCTGTGTCTTTAGAACTGCCAGGGAATTGTAGCAACTGTAGCAATAATTACTCTGAAAAGGAGCTACAAGAAGTGGCCATTCTTATCTTCCTTTTTTCCAGTAGTTGGTGACTTAAGAAATTGCTGAAAAGTTGATGGCACTGAGAACTGTTGGTTCAACACTTAAAACTGAACGCATTATACTGAGAAGGGTGATATATTGTCCATACCGCCCCCCCTCCTTTGGTGTACCTTCTTTTCCTGCTTCTCCCACTTTAGTGCTGCTTTTCAACTGACAACTTGGAAATTGATCCCTGGTAATTGTATCCAAAGTAGCCTATATCCAGTCTCACCTTGACATTCTGTTAGACTACTTTGCTGAAAATTATTACAACTTGAGGATTTACTTTTTACAGATCTGCCAGCATAGGAACAATCCAACATTAAAGATTGGTCAGACTGATCAATCTGAGATGGGAAAAAAATCAAATCAAAATAAAAAAATGGCTATAAAGGAAAAGGGCTACCAGAAGCAGATGAATGGAAGCAGATATGTGGTGAGGAGAAAAGATAAGAAGTAATAAAAGTGGGAAGAATGGGCAATGGTACTGGAGACCTGCATTAATGTAACTTTTCATAGATGAGGACAGAGGCACTCTTCTGCATGAGAGAGTAAGGTCGCTTACCTGTGAGTGACATTCTTCGAGTGGTTATCTGTGCATTCACAAACATGAGCTCTGTGCCTGCATGGTGCCCAGACAAAAAGATTTTCAGTAGGAATCCTGATGTGAGGTTGATGGAGGAAACTTGAGATACGGGGATGCATATGGGAGTGGTGCAGGCAGTTGTTGGATCCAGTGTGAGGATCTGATCAATCCAGAGTAGATTATTAATAGAGGCAATGGGTATGGGGTGGTGTGTCTTTTATCTCTCCCACAGAAAACAAATGGGAAGTTGTTTGATCCATTCAAATGATCAGGCCCAAAGGTAGGACTGATGTTGGAACTCATGGTAATGTTAGTGGCAAGACTATGTGGAGTCAGTATGGATGGATGGGTGACTGGATTTGTACTGATGGTGCAGATGACAAGCAGTCACTGGTCTGTTTTGAAGGCTTCTCCTTGCCCTTCCTAGGCACCATGTTAGGTGTGTCTGCCATTTTGTGCAAGGTTGCTTTTTCAGCTTCTCCTCATCGCATGGATGCTTGCTTTAAGACATCAAAGGAACAGCTGGTGGGCCCCAGGAGCTATCAACAGAGTGTGAGAAGAGGCAGAAGACTAGGAGGTCAATGGGTGATCCTGAGTCTTTGTGGTCACCAAATGTACAGCCACAGGGGTATGCCCTGGTTTTTGAAGGCCTGCAGGGAGAAGGCCTGGCAGTGGGATCAAAAATCCACAAAGTGGTCTTTCCTGAGACAAAAGAGGCATAGGGAATACCCATCTGTGGATGACATTTTTGTCCCACAATGGACATATTTCTGAAA